TCCTCAGCTCCAGCCCCCCATTTCCTCACAAGTTGGGGAAAGGGAAACAAAAATAACCCTAAAGACACAGAGAGAAAGGGAAAGAGAGAGTCGTTGCTACTTTGTTTCTCTCTCTGTGTGTATCTTCCTCTTTCTTTCTTTCTTTCTTTCTTTCTTTCTTGCTCTCTCTCTCACTCACTCTCTCCTTCAGCCTGCCTAGGCTAGAGCTCCCTAACTCCCTCCTCCTCCTCCTCCTTCTCTTTGCCTCCTTCCCTCTCTCCTCTCTCTTCCCTCCCTCTTCTCCGTCCTTTGCTCCCTCATTCAAGTCCAAGGAGAGATTCAGTTTCAGAGGGGAAACCAGGGAAGGAAGGAAGGAAGGAAGGATGGATGGAGGGAAAAAAAGGAGGGAGGGAGGCTGCCTGGGAAGCAGACAGACGGAGTGACGTCAGCGCCAGACTGGGACTGCCCTTTCCAGAGGGAGGGGTGAGCCTTCCCTCGTGTGTAAGGAAAGCTGTACAAGACACACAGAGGGAGGGAAGGAAGGATGTGAATGGCTGCCCCTGCTGCCCCTCTTGCCCAATCACAAGGCAGGACTCTTCCTTCTAACTCTGCCCCTCCCTCCCTCCTTCCTTGACATCTTCCAAGGCTGACCACTGACCAGTCAAAGGGTTCCTTAAGGCTTCATTCCCCCTTGCAAAGGAAGTCACACCTACTAAGTGCAAAAAACAAAACACACCTACTAAGGAAGATCAAAGAGGAAAGTGCAAAGTCAGGCTTAATGCTGAACATAAGGACAACAAAAATAATGACCACCGAGGACCTTCACAAGTTCAACCTAGAGACAATGAAGAAATAGAAATAGTCAAAGAATTCTCATACCTAGGATTCAACTTTGAGAGAAATGGGGACTAGCCAGAAAAAAAAATCTCACAGACCCGCTACACCTACTAAGGAAAGGCAAAGAAGAAAGTGCAAAGGCAGGCTTAATGCTGGAGGGAAAGACAACAAAAATAATGACCACCAAGGACCTTCACAGGTTCAGCCTAGACAATGAAGAAATAGAAATAGTCCAAAGAATTTAAATAGACAAGAGAAGACTTGGTATGTGTGTGCATAAGTAATTCCCATACCTGGGATCAAACATTGGGCCTTTGCAGACTGCCAGAAATAGTGCAAATTGAGTCCACTTTAAGGGATAGGGTTAGTGCTAGGGAATCATGGGAGTTGTTTTTTTTCCTTCTATCTGAGACATTGAGCCTTCTCTGTCAGAGAGCTCTGGTGCCACAATAAAATACAGTTCCCTAACCCTTAAAGTGGACTCAATTTGCACTATTTCTGGCAGTCTGCAAAGGCCCATTGATAGATATGGGGACTGTAATACTAGCAGAAAAATCTCAGAGACCTGCAGCAGCTACTAAGAAAGGTCAAAGAAGAGAGTGCAAAGGCAGGCTTAATGCTGAATACAAAGAAAACAAAAATAATGACCACTGAGGAGCTTCAAAAGAATTCCCACACCTGGGATCAAATATTGATAGAAACGGGGACTGCAGTCACGAAATCAGAAG